CACTGACAGTTTTTTAACTATGATATTCTTCTCTCAAAGTAAAATTCTCAGCCGAATGAGGTGTATTTGAGGTCAAAAACAATATCTTGCTCGATCTTTGAATTAGCAGAACCTTATGTCTCTGAGGGTTTTCCGTTTTCATGCAAAAATGCTATGATCTAACTTTCATATCGAAGTATTTTATGAAACCTTTTCCCATTAATTGACCATCGGCAAAGTACTTCATACAAAAGTATGTTTCTTGCAGAAAAACAGCGTCAGATTATGTAGAATTGCCAAGTGAATTACATCATCCAATAAATATATTCTTTCCGATGGTACGTCTTTCTAACAATTTCACCATCGTTCCAGTGATCAATGTAATAAGAGTTTTCTCTATATAAGACTGATTCAGATGTTATTACATAAGGTTGCGTTTACACTATAATTCAAGGGCTTCGATAGATTCACACTTTTAACGGCACTTGGAAAATGATACAATCGATCATAACTGGCTCATTTCAGCTTTTCCAAAAAATATATTTCATGATTCATATTTTAAGAACTTCAATATAGCAGAATCCTATACAGAGAAAATCATTGCACAGAGATGCAAACATTTTGAAGAAATTTGGTTTAGAGCATAACTAGAGAAATCAGCATCAACTGGGGCGGTTATTTAAGAGAATATAGAAGCAAAAAATCAAAAAAATAGAGGAGCTACGAAAGAACCAACATCTATATACCAGATTTATCTACAAACCAATGCTGAAGGAAAAAAGCCAAGAAGGTTTTCGTTGAAATTAAATCAGAAAAGGTAAATCTTCATCAAACACAACATTTTAACAAAAATTTCAGCTCTTAGAGAGTTAGTCAAAAGCCCATGCTCCCTACATTCGACGCTAGCTAGTAATACGATGAATCATGTTGGGCACATCAGGGGCTTAAAAAAGCAATAAAACTAAAAACTATTTGGAAACTGATAATAGTTTATCAAATATATCAAGCAATTCTCTACAAAGTGGGATGTTTTTCAACTTTGGACAATCTATCATTGATGAGATACAACAGTTTGAAAGATAGTTGAAAAGCGATCAGATATTAATAAAAATATTATAAATGTATACCGGTTTCTAAAGAAATTTGATTATAATTGCAGCTGTTTTAAACTTCATTTTATTTAGTTGCTATTTCGTCGTTTAACCGGTCATTTTCAAAACGTTACAAAACTAAGTGTACAAAAATTGAAAAACAAAACTTATTTTCTTTTTTTCCCTACATGATAACGCAGAACGAAAAAGAGAAATTAAACCATTATCTAGATCATTCTTTTTTTTATATGCGCATATAAAAAAGAAGTAAAAGACGGGAAAAAAAGAAAAGAAGACCTTCAGCCTAACACTTATCGAACGATAGTTTTTTCTTGTATCAAATAATAATGAATGAAGTTAATACTTATACTAAACCCTACACGTCGAAGCGCAGAACATTTGAACACACTGAAGTGTATCGTATCGCCATTTTCTCATGTGATAAGTCATTTTCAGTAGTCACATCAAAACAACGTTTATCAGCTGAACAAGATGGTTTTGTTTTGGTTCAATCCGGTAGTAAAAAATATATGGGGTTTATATTCGAAACAGGCGATTTCTTTTCATGGGCAGATAGCTCAGCTTGCACGCTAAAAATGAGAGTCTAGCGAGACCGTCGCTTTTAGTGATGTAGAGCGTCTCATCGGACTTCCTGAGGCCTGGAAGACTGTTATGAGTGCGCTAACGTCAGGAATGGCTGAAACATAGGTAATCGACCATGCTGCGAGCCATGGCAATATTCGTTTTCATAATCACTTTAGTAAAAACGTAGTGGTTAGATAAAAGAACCAATTTTAGGCTGTATTAATGCAAAGTAGAAAAATTCGTAACTTAGTCAGAATCGGTTAAAAACACATAGATTCAAAGTATACTCTATTTTGCCTGCTTCACATCACAATGTCTGCTAATAATTGTTGACCTTTCATAAAATCGTGTAAGAAAATCTAAGGCATTTTCATTGAATTACCGAACTTTCGGGTTTATCAGAGTGCAAAGTAGCTGAAACAGAGTATACTTTGAGATTTTGAGTTGTTTTGAATTGATTTTGGGTAAATTACGAATTTTTCAGTTTTGCATGAAAACAGCCTCAAATTGATTCACTCACCAAAATAGGTTTCTACTTGGTTTCTAAAAGTAAAAAGATTTTAGGATTGTTTCTTATAAAAGTATGCGCTGAGGTCTTGACTTTCTAATGGCGAAAACCGGCTCTATCGGTTTGCGGTCAAAAGTCATTCAGAAACTATCCACGGTTTTTTGAAATGGGTACTAGAGTTGGCATCCATCTCAGAATGCGGCGGAAGAAAATAAAGCAGGCTAAAACATTTTATTTAGAGGGATACATTTGCGCACCTTATTTTAAGACTCATTATGTATCCGTCTTACTTTAATCGCAGTTAAAATCTTAAAAGAAGTTCACAGTCCTAATAAGCAGGACTATGGCAGAACCTAGTAGAGCGTTGAACTGCCGTAGTGGCTGAAAGAGAGACGAAGAAAAGCGAAATTATTTGTTTTATGATATTTGTTTGTTATATATACTAATGAAAATAAAACAAAAGAGGTGATAGACTTTTCCGTGTACCATACAAATAAGATGGATGCATATCGTATAGATAACAAGTATCTTAAATAAGTTCGATAGATGTGTCAATCCGCAAGTAGGACGGGAGAACGGGAGTAAGATGTATATCATAAGATATGCAGCAGAATGTACTTTCACTTTGCAAAGACTTTTCACTGAGCCTCGTATAAGCTGTTGTTGGAAAGACGTTCTCTGGCAAAGTGCTGCGTGAGATGGCCTCATTAAATTAACAGAGTATGTGGAATCTGTTTGAATAAAAACTAAATGTTACGCTTTCATAGTTATTAAGGCAAGAAAGTAACGTAATATAATTGTGTATTAGCAAATAAATATAAAACATTTTTAACGTGCTGAGTCGATTACAAAAGCAAGGTTATGTTGCACTAAATGAATATAACTATTGAGTCTTTTCTACAGTTTCTTTATTCGAAAATCTAGTTGTGAATGTAGTACTCTTGTTTTCACCGAGTGAAAATTACACATTACTACATAATTAACTAGAGGATATTCATTCGTTTAATAATATGTAATTATTTTTTCTTTTTCATTTTCATTTTTTTCATTCATTTCTTTTTCACGAAAATGAAAAGCATTTCATTCTCGCAATAACGTACATCAAATATCCGTTCATTTTATTGCTCTCAAAAACGCAAATTTATGCTTATACTTCAAAGTTTAGCGGTTTCTAAAGTAATTCAGTAATTGTTATTTATAATTCAGATTTCAATCGAAATGATGGATCTAACAGTATTAATTATTTTTTTCACATTGATGGCTATCGTTTTCAGTCTCCTTTATTTATTCTTCACACAACAGACAAAGACAGCACCAAAAAAACTAGCTTCTTTGATAAATTCCGATGTCCGTTACACTTTTTCATTGATGCATAAACATAATGTATCACACAATACTCGTTGTTTTCGTTTTCGATTACCCACAACCGAACATGTTTTGGGCTTACCCGTAGGTCAACATATTTATTTAACAACACATATCAACGGTGATCTCGTTAAAAGACCGTATACACCAACAACATCTGATGATCAAAAAGGTTACTTTGATTTGGTGATTAAAGTGTATCCACAAGGTAAGGCAAGGCACATTCTTTTAAAAAAGGATCCAACATTGTTTTAATTGTGCTAAGGTAAAATGAGTCAATATCTGGATGGGTTAAAATTGTATGATGCTATCGAAGTGAGTGGTTTCTCTGGCAATTTGATGTATAAAAACAATGGCATTTTTGATATACGTAAACGTAAATCCGAGCCCTTTAAATCAAAACAAATTCATCATTTGGGTATGATTGCTGGGGGAACAGGTATAACACCCATGTATCAATTATTACGTCAAATATTAAAAGAAGACGAAACAATAGATTTAAAATTATGGCTGCTGTTTGCCAATCAAACTGAAGAAGATATTTTATTGCGTGAAGAATTAGAAGTATTGGCCAAGACACATTCAGCTCGTTTTCATCTATGGCATACACTCAGTCGTTCGCCACCATCACGGGAATGGAGTTATAGCATCGGACATGTGAATGAACAAATGCTGCGTGATCATATGCCACCGCCAAATAGTGATACACTTATTTGCTGTTGTGGACCACCACCAATGGTAAAGAATGCATGCATACCTAACCTGGAAAAAATTGGCTATATAGAAACGATGAGGTACATATTTTAGGTCGTTGTCGTTAGACAAAGGAGAACAATACTCTTCCACTATACTTCTAATTTTCTTCATAAACAGCAGACTTTTTATTTAATGAAGAATTAAATACTAGTGTAGCGGACAGGAGTAGACATATTTATTAAGTTTTTAATTCGTACTGATTTTTGTTGACTGAATATTGAATTTTTTAACTTGACGTCGAAACAGCTTGAAAACCCTAATTTTCATAAAACTCGTTTGTTGCTAGGTTTTTAAACCTTTTTCTAAAAATAAATATTACCACCAGGCGCAGATTGGTTGATTATCTATAATGCAGCTGTTCTTGAAGCTATCAATAGTCCCCGAGTAACAGTCATGAGCTCTCAGGAAATCCAATACCAAGCACGAACCACTGAAAACCGCTATGGCTGAGTGGTTATGTTGTTCGGCACGTACTTCAAAGATACCGTGTTCGAAACTCGGCGCCACCAGTTTGTGGAACAACCCTGGACAAGTTACTAACGGCTATTGTCTCGGATCACCCGTTCGATAGCATGGGGTTCGATCACTACGTTGGGACATACACCGGTACTTCGGTGCTAGTATGTGGTGAGTGCGTACGGGGAGCTCGATCAATTGGGCGAAAAGAACTCTGTGTCAGGCTGGCATTCTATCCAGAGCTACAGCTTGCTGGGTGACTAGAAGAAGAGCGGGTGACCATCTCAGAAGATCAGCAGCTGTGGGGAAGATATCGGGCTTATCGAAACTGCTTCGGCAGCAGCTATACCGTACTTTTGCTTCTTGATACTTTTTTGTTCATTTTCTTCTATTATAATCAGATTCCAGGATGCCGTTCAAAATGGTCGTCTAATACAGATTAGCCAAATGGACACTATTCGACGGAGCTGGAGGAAGACCCACGGGAATATCACAAGAATAAGAAGCCCCGCGAGATGCTTCTCGAATTCTTGCTGGATCAGTAACTTCACGGGCTTCCTGAAAGACTGCAGAAGTTCTCGTGAAAATTTTTTGAAGGCGTGTAATAACCGAGAAATTTCAGGTACTTGAAGGTACCTGAACAAGTAATTGTCAAAAGCCAATTTGTAAAAATGCTTGACACGTTGGTAGTGTGACAAGTGCTGGAAAGAGCCACATGAATTCATTACTGAATAAGTACATGCTCGTAAGTACATTTATGATGACTGTAGCATCAGTGGTATATATGCTGCCGGTGTAGAAGCAGTCCGTATTGGATTCAATGTAGTAGAAATAACGTAGATAACGTAGTTGTTGTTAATGAAGTTAATGGGTTAGAAGATAAAGAGCTTTCTGGTGGATTATCTATAACAATTAAGAAATCTAACCGACAAATAGAGAATAGACTACAACTTTCTGTTTCTATTTTGGGTGGCGGATAGTGAAGAACAGAAAGAACATTTGGAACGGCTGTTATTGGACATAATCGCGATGATGATGATAATGGTAATGATGACGACATAATTTCAATGGTTGAGGCTGTTGGATGTAATAAGTCTTAATAAACCTTGGTATAATTATGGAAGATTTTCGGGTTCGCTCGTTACACCTGTTACATATTCTGAAGATATCGGATTTCTACTTTACTTCTACAAAAAAATTCTAGAAATTTTGCTAATTGCATTAAAAAGTATTCTCAACCTCGGTGAAAACCAACCAAAACAAACAAGTCAGACAGTAAGATAAGAAAAGAGATGAGAAACAACTGCAACCGTTTTTGTCGGAATAATTATTTGATGATAGTTATAACATATTTGTTTAACATTTCGAAATTGATCAGGGTGTTTTGTTGTACAACTACTTTGATACCATGCATGTTGTATCATTGCAGTACTTTCGAAGATAATTGATTAAGTATCAATGAATTTAAACGGATAATGTCGTTTCTTTCTTGCAAATTAATGTTAATGTCATCCAAACGTACTCAGTCATATAATTTTCCAGCAATAGTTTTATATTGACGATTGAAATATACGTCAAGTGGTTGTATCAGCGGTGTGGTTTTTGTGGAAGTACAAGGTATTTAAGTTGTCTTAAATCTTTATGCATAAAGATAAGTATTGGATATAGATAAGTATAAGTAAGGAAGATAATTAAATCATGATTACATTGAGTTGGCCTTGAATCAAGTCTTAATAATGTCTTAGATGGTCGATTTGGTTGTGATACATTATTTATCCAATATTCGAATAACGA